CTAATTTAACATGGTTACATTTGGCCCTCGTGTTTATGGAAGTGGATCGCGATCTGTCACTTCTTTTTTGTCACGATGTTAAATATCATTTTAAGAACGCGCTTTTGGTCTTGTGGTGAATATACGGGCATCAAATGAGGCAGTATGGTTTCGAGATTCGCCCACTGCATGTGGAATTTGTAGTGGGGAAAAAATGCTGGTTCTGCTGATAACAGAGAAACAACTTAGGGATTCCGTCATGGCGGACTGGAGAGAGGCTAGGACTGGGATGTTCCATGAAAAGAGTGCGTGTATTTCCTGCGACGTAATGAGGGGCTATAGCCACGGTGGTCTAGCGGTTAGAACGCTGGACTTGTAATCCTGGGGTCTCGGGTTCGATTCCCGGAGGTGCCCGAATTTATAACTTGTGTTGGGCAAGGCCGTGGTCTAGGCAACACGGAGTTTTCCTCCGGGGGCTTCCCCTGTTTCTCCGTGGCATCCCAACAATTACTCCATTCACACACAGAAGAAGGCAATGGCAAACCACTTCTGGATCATCTGCCAAGAACGTATATGAACAGGTCCCAGTCCGAGAAAAGGATAGAAGGATCCTGTTCATATGGACCTGTCAGTCATTTGAATTTGCTGATGGAATGTCAATGATGGGCAGTATGTATAATTAAGTATATATTTGAGGTAGCCAACATTCTGCTGACTGAGTCTAGTAATTTGCACCTTGTATATGAAGATAAACCAACATCATCCTCTTTTCTCTTGGTACCATTAGAAGTGAATGTTCGTGCAGCTCCCAAGGCGTTCTTTACCTTTCCCAACATAAATAAAATTAACCGTTGCTTATTCATCAGGACTCATTAAAGCATTCATTAATCTTTCCTCCACCCTACGTAGTTCTTGTTATAAGAACATCGTTAGTCGTTTCCTTTAAGCTACGTGATTATGTACACGAGCCTGAATACAGGAAGTACACATTAAATGTGTACCATTTTACTGAAAAAATACATGAACCGAAAGCCAGACGAATTAAAACTATCAGCATTTGAGTGTGTTATATGATCAAGTTTGTGTATAATTCGTGCCGATTGGGTTTCGGGAGGACAGGAAAGGAATTGATGGAAGGATTCATAGGAGTGTTGATGATGCGCGTTCTTGGCTGCCGTCGACTATGTTGAGATTAAGGGGCAGATTAATAAGCGTATCCGGGACAACCGAAAAATGAGCAGTGATGAAAGTGCATCTGCAATGAGCATGGTGAGCGAAATAAGAGGCACAAAACTGCTCGAGATCCAAACGAGAAATGTTTTATTCTAATGGAATCAGGAAACGTGTAAGCTGCTTGATGAAGTGTACTCGAAATCAAGGCGAATATTTAAGAATGTTAAACTATGTCTGAAATGATTTGGTTGTTTTGTTGAAAAATCATGTAACAGTGTTGTCTTTAATGCTTTGCGTACCTTCGTAAGATTATAATTATGCAGCTGCAGATTGTAAAATAGGAAACATTTTTTAAATGAAAGGCGTAATCTGGTTAGTTGGTTTTTGTAATGGTGAATAATTCATATCGGTTACGAATGGCTTTGAAATACCTGGGAGTTTCGTGGGAATTGAAATTTTATAATATTCGTATTAGTTTATGATTCTCTCAAACAGTGATAGAGTCATTTGAATTTGCTGATGGAATGTCTGGCGTTGTACAGAAATTTGGTGCCTTTGGGGTTTGTAAACGTGCCGTGCTGTGGAATTATTGGTTATGTAATGTCTTTGGCTGTTGATAGCAGCTCATTAGCGTTGGTTTTCATGACAAGGAGGCATAAAATTTCATTGAAATGTTTCCACCATTACCCATATATTCACTTGTACCGTGTTGTGACATATCGAACAGTCGAGTGCTTAACATCGCGTGCATTAGTAGCGCAATGCTGGGTGACTGACTGATAAATTGAAACTAAGTATTGCCACTCTGGTTCTTTATATATTATCATTGTGATTTGAGCAATAAAAAATCCAGTCTTGTATAATGACTGTCAGTTTAATATTCTAACCGATTGGGCTTCGACCGACAGATATAAATCATAGTAGCCGTAACAAGTTACATGCTTCAGGGTCGCAGAAAAATAGTACAACGTCGTAACACGAAAATAGGTGCCTAGACGAGTAAAGACAGCTCAGAACTCGCAGCATAGCGAAGCTTGCAACGCTTTATTGGTGACTTGGAGCCGCGCGGTAAGAGAGGGCGAAGCCCTCCCGTGGCCTTGAAGCATGCAATTTGAGGGGCGGCTACTATTTCTAGAAGCAGAATACTCATTCGAGATGAAACAAAACTGATTTGTTTTGAAGCGAATGTTTATTAACTTATACCAAGAATATGAAGTTTAAGAGAATTCAGAATATTCTACCCAGACATGTCGGTTCTGTGGGGAATATTGGGATTTAAAAGGAAGTAACGGTAGTATGCGCGAGTAGAATAGTACCATGATAGGAGCTTTATCAATTGTGCTCTTAACCAAATAGTCTGCTATTAATTTGGATTATCAAATCAGCGTGAATAAAATGGGTGGACATGTATTAGGCCTGTATGGGTGACACGAGAAATGCATACGCGTTTGCAGTTTCAGTCGGGAAATCTGGAAGTAATACTCGTAGTTGGGGAGACGTAGGCCTTGATTACAAGATAATATTAAAGCGGATTTGAAATAAAGAGGCTGTGAGAATGTGTCCTGGATTTATATTATTCAGGATAGCATGCAGTAACGACCTCCTGTGAACACGTAATCCAACTTCTATGTTCAAGGTCCGTAAAAGGTTGAGAATTTCTTGCTCAACTGAGCGAGTATCAGCTTTTCAATGAGGATTATGCTCCATGATGTTAAAGGCAAATAGTCAGAGCTAGCGGTACTTGAAATCTAAAGAAGAAAGACTGGCGTAGTATGATATGTTAAAACTGAAACATACGTAGGTACACGAAATATTATATAAAAGTACTGATACATAGGCCTGTAAGTCAGCTCTTTTGCTCTGTATCGAGCAGGGTTTCCGCTTCTGACATTGACTTCGGAAGGTGTTGGCTCTGAGGAGTCCATGATGCTGCATGCTTCATATTGCCGCAACTCCAAGAAGGGCTCATATTTGGAGCTTAAATCCATCTTCTTGCCGGGATTTCTGAACTGTCATGTATGGTTTTTGATTCTCTAAAGATTTATGTCGGTGGTTGATTCATTACAGAAGCATTATGTTTGACATTGTTCATTGTATGAGGTATATAGATACCCCTCAGACAATGGACAGTGCCCAACGTTACGTTCCTGTAATTTCTTTGGTTTAATGTGAGGATGGTGACGTTCATTGGTGAATCCCAGGCTAGAAGTCAAGTCGTGCGGAAATGAAATATTATTTCCCCCCCCCCCCCATAATCACACCACAATTTAAAAGGAATTTTTGTTGTTATTGTTGTGAAGTGGTTGTAAAGAACATCTCATTTATGTTTTATCAGTTTTGGTGGTCTGTCGGCGCAATGCTAGCCAGACGGGAGCATTTGCCATTGGCGCCAGTTGTTTTCGTTTTCAGAATGTGGAGCGTGTGCCCATTTCTGTAGCGAACGTAGAGTTATCTGGTATCACCATTAATTTATGCAAACAAGACAACATCTGTTTACGAAGTACTGAGTGATAGACGGACGTATGTAACGTTTAGGCCGTATCTGCCGACTTTTAGAACAGCATATCCCTGAAGTGGTATTCGCGGTCCCCCAGGGCGTTCTTCGTGGAGCTAATGGTTTAGTTTTAATACATGTAAACTGCTGTGAAGGATCACATCAAATTAAAAACATGATTGAAAAAGTACTTTATAGATATTGTTAATGTTCTTTAGTAATTATCTTTTGAAATTGCCAAATCACATTACAAGATAGTTTATGGGTTTGGGGGCCTCAGATATTTGTGTTCACATCAAAGGACCTGGGAGTAAAAGTGTTTGGGAACCGTTGCCCTAGAGTGGGCCCCAGTAAACACTAATAAAATTGATTTGGGATTTTTAACATGAACATTGTGGTTATTTAAATTTACAGAGTTTAATCTTCCTTTCCGGTCGGGTACTTTAAAAACGTTAATATATGATTTATATCATTTTACCACCAAGTGAATTGCTCATGCATTTGATAAGATACAGTTTTATGAAACGTCGCCCCCATGACATGTTGGTTTCTCTTTCTAACTCTGTTGTTGTATAGATAATGAACGGGGTTCGTTACGTTAAAAAGCTTGCCATTTATTTCAGTCGTGCGACAGCCTCTGTGCATTGAAGTGTGTTTTCTGTGTTGTGAAGACAGGTTTACTTTCTAGTGCATATTTCTGGTATATCTGTATCACGTAGGCGGATGGAATATTTTATTCTTAAATGTTGTGTACCTTGTAAATTTTAATGAGAGCGCGGATCAAAGGTCATGAGAAGGAGACAGTCACATAAGCATAATATTGAGCAGTTTATCTTTATGAAATAAGGGAAGTAGGTTGAAAATAACGAAATAATGAAGACGCAGATTAAACTATTCAGTGTCTTTACATGTTTATATCCATATTAAATAAAAGTATCTGGCAGAAAACGTATGTATGAATGAAGATAGTTTAAATAATATCTTCGTGTATCGATATGCCGAGAGTCTTCTAGCATAATTTTACGTAGTACTCACAATCTGGGCGGTCCGTTTTGCCCTCCTCCCACCTGAGTACCGGAGATCAAATTTGGCAGTTTTAGACGTATCTGAAGTGTAGGCGTCATATCCTGAGGGCGAGAGTGATGTGATCTCCCCCTTATAATAATATGGCACAGGGTACGCCCATCTATAAACGGTAACAACAGTAATATAATGAAAAATATAATATATAATGTTATTTTCATCTATATTCTTGAGACGAAACTTTTGAAAACATTTTTACTGAGAATATTTGATGTTCTCACGGTGGTAAGTTCGAAGATGGCTGTCTTCTGGGTTGTAGCGCCTTGTAGTCTGGTAGAAGTTTACCAACATTTCATAGGTCCTTTGTGCCTCCATTTTCCATTTTCACCAAGTTATTTACATATAATGGAAACGTAAGAAGTATTTGATTTTCAACTTGTTTGAGGCAGAAGCATCAGTCTAATTATATATATGCATTTTGTGAGATGTTTATAGTCCATTTCTGCGTATACAGGTGTAAAGGTAGCTTGCCTAAATAATACTGTATTTAAGAATGCAGTTCGTACCGGCAAAGAAAACACCACATTTCACTGTTTCAAAGATCAATTGGTTAATACTATTTAAAGAATCAATCCCTGTTTACAGTGAGAAACTTGACCTTGAGAAAACACAGAGTAATTGAATGTTAAACCAGGTGGCACATGTGGTTACCTCTGGGCCTTTAAGGGTTAAGTAACAACGATAACAGCTTCATATCATGATTAACGCCATTTTATTTCAACCTGGAAACTGTTGCCTCTGTCATGAGGGCGAAGTGTTCCCCTGTTAATGTAGGTAGTAAGCACCTCTGATGCGTCTGTCGGCTTCCACCAGACTGCATGGCACAGTATCCCAGACAGCTGTCATCTTCATACCCGCCTTCGCAAAAACCAAAAATCTCAGTACGCAAGTTAATATGAAGAATATCCAAAGATACCTCTCCAGTTACCTAGGATATGTATAAACTCTACTAGACCTCAAAGGTGGCCCAGAAATGGTTGTAGTTACATCTCTACTTATGTTACACATTCAGTTTTCTTATTGCTAAGAAGAAGGAGCCATATGGTACTTACGTCTACTGTTGGTTGACTGATGACCTGTTCTATTTTTCTAATAAATACCAACTTCGTATTTATCAGGACTGAGTTGTCTTTTATGTTATTGGAAGCATTGTTTCCTTAAAACAGAGAATTAATTTTTATGAAGTGAGACATGTCTTGAGAACAAGTCACCAGACCGTTTTGAAGTAAAGTGGTATGAAGGTGATCATACAGTCACAGAAGAACTGAATGTTAACGTTAAAAATGCAGTATTCAGTTGTGACTGGAATTGTTTCATTTGCGAGTGTTACAACACTTGTGTGCATCATCATTATATGGCAGCGTACTCTGACATCTATGGGGTCCAGCCCTCCAGAGCTGGTGAATGTATCCTTGGTGAAAGCTGTGACAGAAGTAGATAATGTTTCAATTGTCACCACTACTTTACCAGAATTAAGCACTAATTATGTCGTATCTACAGCATTACGTCTAAATAGTACAACTGAAGGATTCAAGATCAGTCAACTCGATGGAACTTTGTTGCAACGTAATAAGATAAAAGAGGTAACGATTCTGTCTTATAAAAGTTAAAAGAGTTGATGTTTTAGAAACTATGATGTTTCAGTTTTTAAATTTGGAAGTCTTCACATTTCCTTCCAAGTGCTTCTCATAAAACATCTAATGCTCTTTGTTACAATTTTTAATATGTATTGATGATACCACTTAATGGTACCTGCACCTTGTCGTGGTGGTGGGGCTTGAGTACCTCAGTGGCGGTAGCATAGCTACTGGTAGGGCCTCCCTAGCCAGATTGGTCGTGGGGGAGAGGTCAGACTAAGACAGGTACCCTGGTCCTCCAGGTTGGGGATTGGCCGCTAGGATAACAACCTTGCAACGTAAAAAGGAAGATGTTTCAAAACCTCAATCAAAGCCTCAGACAGAGGAGAATTGAGGAGGCCATGGACCGAATATGGATCGGAGAGCCATAGAAGAAGAAGATTGATGATACTGGGTTATGACTATAACTAGTATTTATAAAGTTTATTCTGTATTATCTGCTGTATATGCAAAATGAAAGATGTAACATTCATTGTAATGGCAGGACATTTCGGTGTTACAAAAAAATAGTACTGTCGTAGGAAGCACTTTTGTTCTTGGCCGTCATATAATGTTACTGTAAAGTCCAGCATCTAGTCACATGTGAATTTCTTTGTTGCAGATGATGAAACATGCATGGGATAATTATGTGCGCTATGCATGGGGGAAGAACGAGCTTCGTCCAATCAGTAAACGAGGTCATAGCGCAAGCATCTTTGGATCGATGTCTCTGGGTGCAACAATTGTCGATGGTTTGGACACCTTGTACATTATGGGGTTGGAAGAGGAATTTAAACAAGGTCGGGATTGGATAGCAGAGAATTTTGACATCAACTCTGCAGTAAGTAGTTTTGTTACTAGTATTATACAGTTGGTACCAGGAAATATTAATATGTGAACAGTGTCGGTTCAAAACAGTTGTTTAGTAGCAAATAATAAAGAGCTTTCAGGCATTCCTTACAGTATATGAAGTCTGATGGTGGTATAGTAAAAAAAAATCGCATTTGATTATCAAACTTTATGTTTCTAATAACACTAATGTTAATAGGTAAATGATACATTAAAGATCTTCATTGTGGACTTTTATCTGTCTTCCTGATATTTTCTTTCTGGGGTACAAATATTCACTTCATCACACTGTTTCTTTCCATAAAATGAGACACCAAATTTCACATCCATGAAGAACATTGGGTAATATTATATATGTTTGTTTTAATTGTTAGGTTTTTTGATAGATCGTGGGAAGATTCTGAATGTGATGTTAACAAGTTGCTCATTTACTTTACTGTTAAATCAGTCAATATGAATGATGAAATAGGTAGACTTTGTGTATAATTTTGAGAATGCTGTACACTTAAAATTCTGAATTATATGTAATTTTCGATAAGGATTTTGAATCAGTTTCTGAGTTCACAAACCTTCGAATCTGCTTTATTTTTGTATGAAATTTGCTTTTTATATGTACTCTAGTTTATGTCTAAACTCTCATGTTTTATTATAAGTGAAAATTATTTTATAGTATCTGTGTTAGATATTCTGTGTGTTCATAATATACATATACTACATATATTACAAAGTAAGGGGGAGCAACTGATGCCATTGACTTTTCAGTATTGACTGTTTACTTCACATTACTTCACCAGGTACTCGTTTGTCATATTTATTTGTTCCATTCCAGGCGTTTAATACTTAGTTGGTTCCTTCAGTCTGTGACTTGTAACTTTACAATGTTGAGTCCTTCCTTAATTTTCAGTAATATGGAATGAGAAAGAGGAATATAGTGTCCTTCAGTGCATTGATCTGTTTTATTGACTAACGTGTAGGTTTTATTATGATGAAGAGACATGTATTTGTGTTTAATTCTTATACATGTGAAATGTCATAGGCTCTTGGTGAAGTGCGTATCATGTTTAGCTGAGTTTTGAAATAAAGTTTTTAATATTTTAGCAGTAACATAAGAGTGTTACTGTTTATAAATTCCCTCATTGTTATTCATACCCTTGGAATTATGAAGAATTGTGTCCAATCTGATGACCTTAAAATTGCAACACAGACAGCATGCACGTAACAAATCTAATAAGTTTTGGGATAACTCCAGTTTAACCTTTTTAAGCAGAGGCTTATCTGAATATTTAAAAATGTAGTCTGTACCTAGAAGAAAATGTAACATTTCTTTATTACAAAGACCAGTTAGTGCTGTTTAAGGAAATAATCACTGTTTAATACACTCTGAGAAAAATGCATAGATATTGATTATTAAAGGGGCTAATAGTTGACATGTTTGATATATATTTGTATAAAATGGGATATTAAAAAGATTGTAGAAAATACTCGTATAGTAACATTTTTAGATCAGATGTGGCAGACATGCAGATTCAAATTGTTAAAAGTAATTTTCTAGTGCATATCAGGCGCATGTCTTGAGTTTCATTATGGTTGGTGTTTTTTTTTAATTTTGTGAATAATTCTTGCAATAAATTTATTTATGCTTTAATTGTATTTTATGCAAACACATTTTTTGCTAGCACTATTCTCAGACTTACTGAAATCACCATTATTTGTCTTTGTTACATATCTTTAATAGGACCCAAATATATGCCAGTTTATGAAGATGAATTACCTTCACTGTCAGAAAATCTGTGGTTATGATTATGTTATGATTTCTGAAGTATTCCAGTTCTTTCACTTGTGTAAATTAATCCATAAATGTGTAAAATATTGTAAAGAATATTTCATTTCTCTGTTTACAGACCACAGACCTCTCAGTATTTGAAACAAACATTCGTTTTATTGGTGGTCTTCTGACGTGCTTTGCTCTGACGGGAGATGTTATGTTCCGGGACAAAGCTGAACAGATTGCAAAGAAGCTGCTGCCAGCATTCCAGACCCAAACTGGCATTCCTCACTCCCTAATCAACATAAAGACAGGGGTAACATATTTCATTCATACTCGTCCTCAAAGAACCTTTTGTGTTATACCTATAAATGTTTTTAGTTGAATTTAAATGATGCGCACTAGTATATTTTTGTCCTTGTCTAGTATGTTTCATTGCATTTTAAGGTACATTATGAGACAACTGTAATGTGTTACTGATCTTTAGTCCCTACCATTGGAGCTCTAAAGCATGTTTGAGTGTGTGACTGCTGATATATCATTTTTTGTGCTTTTTTTCACAAATAAACACAATAGTATAACAGGTTTATATATTTTGTCTTGAGTGAGCATAGTTATGGGTGAAATGGTGCCAGTTGAGGTTATGTTAGTAGCAACATGTTTTATATTTTGAAAGTGTGAATTCTTGTGCCTTTTAATTATTTTCTTTCCTGTCTTCAAATTATGTACCCTTTGTGGTCTGATATTCATAATGGAGGGGACAAGTAGCATGGATAATGCAGAACAGCCATCCCTTTATTGATTGAGCTGTCACAGTTCATACACAGAGTAATGCATAATCCAAAATATATTCATGTCTGAATGTTTGACAGGCAAGCAAGAACTATGCCTGGGCAAGTGGTGGCTGCAGCGTATTGTCTGAGGTAGGAACACTGCATCTTGAGTTTGCATACTTGTCAGATGTGACAGGCGATCCAGTGTACCGTGCCAAAGTGGACCACATACGACGTGTGATCCAGAGCATGGACAAACCACGTGGTCTGTATCCCAACTACATCAATCCAAAGACAGGAAAATGGGGTCAACGTAAGTTCAGAAATGTGTTAGTAGTTCAGAATAAACTAGTGTTTTGATATTGTCCTAATCAGATTTATGTTCATGTTGTTGTGAGGAACTAAAATATTATAATGAGATGCAAATTATAAGTAGAATAAGTAACAAGCAATTATGATACTGCAGTACAAATAAACAGTGTGATGATACAGATGTAAATTGTTTATGATACATGCCTCTGTACTGGTGAAGTGAAGTAGTTAGCTCTCCTTTCTTAGTTGCTCAAGTGAATTGCTGGGATAGTACCTTAAAATGAGCCATGACTGGTTCCTTTCACATCATTTTCAGTCATTGTGCCATTGATGCTACCTGACCTGTGAAGTTGATAATGCATTTATAAATACATGGAGGCACACACACAGTTCTGTGTAAGCTAGTGATGCATGGCCCTTCTGTGTCATCTTAATACAAACCACAAATAAAGGCCAATTTGACAGTGTGGCTGTTTGAAAGAAAAATGTTCTCCATGTCCTGTGATGATTAACATTTCATAATGACTTCATTGTCATCAGGGCTTTTCACTGTAAACTTTTTAAATATTCTTATGTATTGTTTGTTTTGTAGTTGTAATCGTGATGCCCATCTTAAACCTTTATTTCAGATCACATGTCAATGGGTGGACTTGGTGACAGTTTCTATGAGTACTTGTTGAAGGCATGGCTTCAGTCAGGACGGGAAGATCAGGAGGCGCGGCAGATGTATGATGACGCCCTACATTATGTTTTATTGCATATGCTAAAGGTATCACCTGGAGGCCTCACCTTTATTTCTGACATGAAGTTTGACCGACTAGAACATAAGATGGACCATCTGGCATGCTTCTCAGGTCAGTTTTATGTGTGGTACTTGCACTATTTCAGTTTCTGTTTAATCTTTACGCACTATAACTGTTACGTGATTTACAGAGTAAGACATGTCTGCAGTAATAAAGAAAATTGTGATAAATTTCTGATGTAGTAATTATTACATTACGTATATTATCAGTGCCTGTTATGCGGATTAAGGGGGGCGCCATGAAGTTGCCCTGAACAATTACTTCTGCTCTGTTTATCTACGTAATTTCTTACCTTGCCTTTCTTCTAAAGAAAAATTAATCCCCTATCCCCAATATAATTTTCTGTTCCGAGACTTGAGCGAAGTTGGTCTTCTGGGTTGTAATGCCATGTGGACTGACGGACATTTACCAGTGTTTCAGAGACTGTCTTAATCTTTAGCCCTGAAGATGGAAACAGTATGTTTCTCCAAAACATTGATGCCTACCTACAAGTCCACATGGTGTTACAACCCAGAAGACCAACATCACTCATAGCAATTTCCCTTTTGACATGGAATACGAATACAAAACTAGCATTGGTTTACAAGTATGTAGAAGTTCAGTCTTAAATTTGTCCTAACATGCATGGCCTTACAAATGATATTTCTATGTGGGTGTGGTAGTCTTTCTTTGTTGTTAAGTTCATATTTCATGAATAAGAGCTAATGGGTAATAATAATTCTGTATTGCCAGATTTGAATGTTGCTCTTTCCTGAAACAAATTAAATTTTGCTGCAGCAGCTTAAATTGAATCAGCATGTATGGCATATCAAAGAGTGCAACTGGAAGTAGTTGTTGCAGTAAAAATTTGTGTGAAATTTTAGTTCCTTATTCATTATTCCTTGGTGTTTCAGCTGGTAATATAGCTTCTGTCATTAGCTTTTAACACTTAAGCAAGGGGTAGGGCTGTATTGGAACATTAGTTAGCATATAATCTTGTGATTTTTAAGGAAAATATGTACATTTTACTTTTTCAGAAACTTGGTGTTACACTTGTTAATATGTTCTGGTAAAGCACTATGGTTGGAACTTTTGAACAGTGTCATATGTGGACCTTGTGAATTGTATTTGGTGTGGTTGCTGTGTATTCTGAAAATTGACTGGTGTTCTGCTTTGGAAACTGTGACTTAAGTCATGCTACTCTACTTTCAGGGGGTATGATCGGGCTCGGAGCTCAAACTCTGAAGAATGATTTGTCTGAACGCTACATGGGGATAGCTGAGGCTATTACAAACACTTGCCATGAGTCATATGACCGCACAGCAACAAAACTAGGGCCTGAGGCATTCCGTTTTACTGAGGCTATTGAAGCTAAAGCACTCAAGAGCAGTGAAAAGTATTACATCCTCCGGCCAGAAGTGATAGAATCATACTTCATTATGTGGAGGCTCACAAAGCAGCAGAAATATCGGGACTGGGGCTGGGAGGCTGTTCAGGTGAAGAACACATACTCTGATTAGAAGCAAAAATGCATGTGTAAAAAATGAAAAATCATGTCAATCCAAGTTAAAGTATAACAGAATAAATGTTTTGCATTTTCCTGTACAGATTTATTTTTTAAAATCCTGGAATGTTACACAGTGATAATATGTAAATGTGTTTGGAAAATTTAATATAAAAACATTTCTTACATTATTAGATAAGTGAACTGCAGAACAACTTTCCATATCTGTGTTTTCATTCCTTGCTTTTGAAATGAAAAAAGAATTACATGTGTTTTTAAGTACAAATTTTCAAATTGTTAAGAGTGTTATAAAAATACTTAGATGCATCTTATATGTCCACATACTTTACTGTTTCAGTAATATCAGTATGGTTTGTTCATACTGATATTACTGAAACAGTAAAGTATGTGGACATATAAGATGCATCTAAGTATTTTTATTGCAGTTTATTAACATTCATAATGTTAGCATTTTGTGTCCAAAGGTTTGCTGCTGTAATGTAGAAAGTGTAACTTCTTTCTTGTCTAGGCAATTGAGAAACATTGCAGAGTAGCAGGTGGTTATACGGGACTCAAAAATGTTTACCTGGAAGATCCTCCAAAGGATGATGTACAACAGAGTTTCTTCCTTGCAGAGACGTTGAAAGTAAGGAATGTAACCAATGACAATGAACTAACTAACCAGTTTATTCACTCTATCCACAGTACAGAGTTTGCCTTGAAAAGCTGATAATTGTTGAGCTGGTTAAGACAATTCTTGCCTTCTGTTGAGCCCAGGGGTGCAGAACTGTTTTCATTTGAGCCCACCACTGTCTGTTCCCATTCACAGAATGAGGACAGAAATGGTCCTTGAAACATCAGCAAGTTTTAATCACGTGACAGTCGATGGCCTGAGAGGATTCTGTTAATGACAGCTGCCATGAAAGCTCCACAGTATACATGTTTTTCTTCTCTCCTGTCTGCTGCAAGTCCTATATACATCACATCTTCCTTGATTTAATCCATTATTTGGGGAAGGGTACAAATTACAGAGCTCTTTATTATGAAGTTTTCTACAGTCTCCTGTCACAATTCTTCTTAGGTTCAAATATCCTCCTCAGTACTTTGTTTTGAAAGCCCTTTTTGTGTTCTTCCTCTAAGACAAGGGACCAAACTTCACACCCATACAAAATAATTGGTGTAATCATAGTTTTAGGATTCTTTGTCATTTTCTTGTTCCTAGAACTCTTAAAACTTGGAATATTGAATTTATTTGTCATTGAAACCATGCAAAGGTAATTTTACAACTTCTTGTATTGTAAATTTGAATTTGAGGAAATGAGTAAGATAAAAGTATGTGAATTGAATATATCAGGTATTATATTTTAAACATTAAATAAGAAGTAATTGTTACATTGGTAGCAAAATTTGTTTGTCTGAATAATTGTATAGAATTCGTTTCTTTCTTTCTTTCTTTCCTTCAAGAATGACAAATCTTTTATGAGACTACTGACTTTGGTATGAACCACAGATTGTTAGAGAAGAGTGCTACCTTAAGTTAGTGTTGTATTATTACAACTACTCAAGATGAAATAAAATTTCTTGCATAATTAATTAATAATGAAATAAACATGACACATGGATTATATACTCCTTTTATTGGAGATTGTAGTCACATTAGCTGAATAGTGTTATAACATCGCCCTGATGACGGAGGCAGTGCTCCTTTTATTGGAGATTGCAGTCACATTAACTGAATAGTGTTATAACATTTACATTGTATTTTTCATTTGTTTTAGTATCTGTACCTGCTGTTCAGTGATGACAGTCTAATGTCTTTGGATGAGTGGGTATACAATACAGAAGCACACCCTCTTCCCATCAAGGGAGTAAACCCTCTATACAGGGAGCAAGTATAAGACTTGTAATCTTAGGGTTTCTGATTGCAACTTCTAGTATGTTAATTTATTTATTACAGGTAAGACTCATAATTGCTGCCTGTACACCTTCAGTTTCTTCTTTAGTGTTACAACAAATTAGTTTATTTACTACTTTACTCTTTATTTTTCTCAAAAATGTAAAAATTTAAATAAAAACAGCATTATGGAAATAAAAACATATATTATAACATATGCATATGAAAAGTATTGTTAAATACTGCAAGAGTCAATCTACTATTCTCGTACCTTTTATAGTGTTGCCAGCAATCAAATAAGTGGTAGACTGTTCTTTTCGATAAGATGCACTCAGGTAGATTTTAGTGCTACAACCATTACACACAGACCCAGCACATAAAAAGATGAACTAGCACATTCTGTTGTTGGTTTAAAACATACATTACCTCTTATAAAATTACCGACACTTGGTACGTTAAATCTGTGGCATAAGAATACATGCTTTGTGAATTCTGCCTGAACTCTTTGTTTACTAGTGGTAACAAACTGTACATAGAAATATTGATAATGTGCCTTCACAAATTGTGGTTTGAATGTTACAAAAAACTTTAATTCATGTAATATATTTTTGTTTCAGGTGATATTGTTAAACCAGAATGCTGTAAATTTAATGCAGACGAATGAAGTTACTGTAGTGATAAATTTTATGAACAAAACCAGTATCAAGAGGGAGCAGTTCTGCAAGATATGAGGCTGAATCATGTGTTGGTGTAAGTCAGTGTTGAATAATATGAATTAATGGACAGGTAAGAAAAGAGAACAGTGTCGTGAATGCCTGAAGAATGAAAGACTGAGGATGTATGCCATTTTTCACATTGTGAGATAGTTGGGTTTTTCTTCTGTGCAGATAGATGCGATCTTGGAGAATGTTGGTGCAGGAACTAAATTGACGATTTTGCTCAAGTGCGATGAGAAATAATTATAAATGAACTGTGACTGTAGATTATACTTCATGGAAACCTGCCACAACCTGACAAAAGGAGTGTTTCTTAACCTCTTTAACTTCCTTTCATCCCCAGAACTGTTGCTTAACCTCAGGTGTTTTAATTTGTATAACAGTTGGAATTTTGAGGAAGTAGGGAAGTACAGGAGCATTTCATTCCTCTGTATAGAAAACATTTTTCCATTGCCTGAATGGTTCATGAAACGGATGTTTTTATCTGTGTTGCAGCAGCAAAATATGGATTACCTGCCTCACTTTCAGTAGTTTGAGATTTTGAGTCTCTTATATTTGGCACTTAATGTAATGAAATGCACGAAGAGTAGTGAATATGTTGGTAATAACAGAGACGGAGTTTGACATATAAGAAGTACATTGAAATAAATATGGATAGTTAATTAGTGAACCAGTTGCCAGATTTGATAGTTGAAATTCATGATATTTATAAAGATGACAATAAGAAAAATATTACAGTGTGCTATGTGCATGTAGCACAAGTATATGTTTTGATTTTATCTTTGCTGTTTGTAGTTTTAATAGCATCCCTAGGAGAAAGCAGTATAATCATGATTGTTTGACCTGTTGTGTCAGTTTCACTGAATTCACGTACTTCCCATAACTGGCAGTATTATGATTTCATTATAGAAAGTTAAAAAAAATGTAAGAAATTGTGGCCAGGGAATGAAGGCTTTCTTGGTGGTTTCTTATTGTAACTCCATGCAATCATATCTTACTTAACATTTTATAGCCCAAATAGGGCTTTGAATGAAAATTCAGGAACTTTCTCTTTATTTTCTATTTGGGTCGTGACAGGATTATTTACCCTGAATAGATGGAGGTGAAATGTTGCTCCAGTAAGCTTGGTAATTTGTACCTTAACAATTAAGGCAATCTGTTTCTCTGAAATGTTGGTGAACACCTGAACAGTTCTCTGTGACAACCTCAGACCTCATATTTTTATTTGGTGTTCACTGAAGAAAAACAGAGGTAGCAAGTTTCTTCTTGTGTAATAACTGATTTATATGGGACGTTATTACAGGCCCATTAGTAAGTGTTCATTTTTTGAGACTGGTCTGTTGTTAACCTTTATTTTCCATACTTTGCATCTCAAATGCATTCCAGCTTTATATGCTAATCTGCTAACCATGCAGTTCAAGTCCAGCCTGCAGCTCCATAGCTTTGGGGTTTAAATTGCCTTTTCCCACATGATTAAGGTGAAATATTGCTTTCTTGTCTCTTGAAACTTGATCTGTTATTACCATCATTATAGAAACGTATGCTTACATTGTTGATTGTTGAATTTTGTGGGTATTTATTTATTTTAAGCCTTTCATCTATTATTGAACAATGCTGTGTGATGGCATAAAATGTGTAAAGTCATCAGATAACTTGTGTTAACCCTTGTGGTCCCAAGTTCAGTAAATTGACTGAGATTGTCAACATCAATTAGACTGATATTTCATTCTTGTATCTCCCATTTTTTATTGCTATGTGCAACTTCTCTCAGATGGCAGAAATGATAGATTATACCATGTAGGAATTATGAATATTCATATCTAAAGACTGTACAAAGCCTGGTTCTTTTTGCATATTAGTGATTTTGGAGGAGGAAAGGTGAAAATATAGAATCAGTGGTTACAGTCTGCTTGAATGAAAGCTAGCCTTATTATGAAGGAGGTTGTATAGAAGTGCCCACAGAACAGTGCAGTAGCGCATGAAGCTTCTTTTACTTGCAAGAACCATACTGAAGTTCCTTAAACCTAGTTTAGATACAGTAAGGTTTGTGAAGGTTGCAAGCATTGTAATTGGTGGTAAATGAGAAATCATTTACTCACTGAGCATACTCAGATATAGAAGATGATATTTTGTTGTAAGTTTTGTTTTATTCTCTTCTAGAACCAGTAATGTGAACGTCTTTCAGAGGTTTGGTATTATGTTGATCATCATTAGGCTTGAACAAAAGAAAATTTTGTCATACCATGTGATTTTTAACATGTTGTTTTAGTAACACTTTTTTGTCCTTTAAGAGATCAAACATATTTTCTGACAGAGCTGCAATTCTTTACAACCTCCTTGCATTTAATCTTGTCTGTCTTCTGTTAATTTCAATTTTATTTTGAACTGTTTATCAAGTATTTGGGATGACATGGAATTCAAATAACATTGGTTTTATTATGATCATTTTGTCTAGAGCAAGGATGGGTAACCAGTTTGTAGCAACAGGTGATGATACTCTTACCAGTCATTTTTTTTGCTTGTTTATATTCAAATAATGAAAGAACTGTTGTGTAGAAATGTAGGTAAGTTATTTGTTACAAATGTTTTAAATGTTGATGTTGGTCTTCTGGGTTATAATGCCATGTGGACTTGCAGGTCGATACTAGCATTTTGGAAAAACATACTGTCTCCGTCTTCAGAGCTTAAGTGGATTTTTTGAGAGGTGAATAGTTAAAAAATGTCAGCAGAAGGAATGCTGATATCTGCCTACATGTCCACACTGTGTTTCAACCCAGAATACCAATATCGATATCTTCACCATTGTAAGAACCTCAAATGTCATATGATTATTTTGTAGCCTGTGATACTAGCAAGCACTAAGCATAAAGTTTTTATATACATATTATTGCAAATGATAATTATGTGGTTTTTCTTGTGTTGTAGCATGTATTTTGTTATACATCACAAAATTATCATCTATCTTTTATTTTGACATTTTAAACTGTGTGTGTATTGTCAACTGTTTTTTAGAATGTGAACAATACATATTTTATGATATTTACAATATAAAGTATGCTTCTGGAGTAACAGGGTTTGACTGTCACCCAGAAAGCTGTCATGAATATTCACTTGCATATTGTGTTTCCCATAACTGCTCTAGAAGGGTGTTTCAGTAGAATTAAATTGTAACTGTATAATGTTAGGTATAATTTATCTTGAGATATGCTTAGTATTTCCTCATTCTTAAACCCTACATATAATACTAAGCACTATAAATTATTGTATAGATTTCTGTTAGCATTGCCAGAGGTTCTCTAAAGAGTAAACAGCTACAATGTTGTGTGAAGAGTGTTTCACAGGATTTATAAGTAATTATATCATGTATGGTCAGAAGAAGAGAGATTCATTTAAATAATAAAATTCCAGTTTTTTTACTTTAGTTCCCTCACTGCCACCGGGTATAAACCCATTTGCAGTCAATACCTTACTTTAGTTCCCTCATAATTATACTGATTGCACAAGAGTGGGGTGTCAAAACTAAAGGGATAAGGAGATGTTGGTGTACAAACATATTATTTTAATGGTTTACTTTTTATTCTTTGACATAAGTGGTCCAATACTGGTAATGTTTTTGAGCCTTACTTTTGTTATGAGATATTTTGTAATTATTTTGATATTCAAGTTCCACGAGTGATGGTGTATAAATGTTATGGTATAATGAGGGTAATATTCATCACAGAATAGCATGTGTGTTCCTAACATTAGTAGTCATATCCATGCTGCTGAAATGCTTATGAAAATGGTTGGTGTGAATCAGTACATGAATTTTAGAGAAAACATCTTTTATGGTACAAATCCAAGACATAATCTGACTGTTACATTGGTAAACCACAAGGCCCTGCTTTTGAGATATTCTGTATATATTGAATTTACACTGCAAAATCTGATATTACAATGATATCAAAGTAGCACATTTTGGAAATTGAATCTGTTTATATTTGGATATTCCGAAAAAGATATAAGCTTCATCCAATTTATTTTCTTTGGTACAATAGTGTAAAGAATATTTTACGTACGGTTTTTAGTTTGTATTGGATCCAGAATTTTTCCCTTAAAAATGTAGTAAAAACATGTTTAGTATGATAACGATAGACTGCAACTATATCTTTATGTTGTGGAAATCATTCTTTTGTTAAAGATGCAGAACCCTTCTCATCATAGTGGGCAATTTTATAGGTGCATACATATTTGGAAGGATTTGTAATGGAGGTTTTTTTCTCAGCAGATTGTTTTGTTTTACCTGATTCAAGGTTTGCTAACTTTGCCAGAATTCTCACATTCTTCTTTCCCCTGTATTCAGATTCAGAATGGTATCATATTATACACCAAATATGGCTGCTTTCCTCCCAAGTAAGAAACAAACATGTTACACTCAAGGTTTGAGAATAGGTTGTGATATAACTGATGAACATTACAGACAAAATTCAAATTTGCATTTATAGGGAGTAAAGTGAGCTGTGAAACTGAAGTGTACTAAGTATCCTCACTATAATATCCTGTTTTGATTTCATATTGACATTATTTGTTTAACAGCAATTATGTCTTCGTAATGTTATATTTTAGCTTTATTACTTATTGACAAGAACTCTGAAGTTGGAAACATTATGTTCTTGGGAAACATTGGTACCCACCAAGTCCACATGGCATTACAATGCAGAGGACATTGGTTTGACTCAGGATAAGGTCCATAGATGGGCTCTTGTGAACACTAATGAATATTAGGTTTCCATAAAAAGGAGGGAATTTCTTGATCAGATGAATAACTATCAGCTTCACAATTGGGTGTTACTCCATGGAGTTAATTAAAATGAACCTGTTATCGGTATAAGATTACAGATGGGCCTCGTATATATTAGTAAATGCTATTATAATTTCTGTGTGTTGTGCTGAATTTTTCTTTAGACACATTCCATGAAGGTGCATTGGAACTGTGGAGGTAAAGATCTGTTCATTTTTGGCCTTGTAAGGTGAGTAGCCAACTTGATGCTCCAGTTAAATTAACACTAGTGAGAGTAAACCACCCTCACTCCCAACTGCTGGGTAGGAGCCAGTATGGGTCGAAAATACAATGTAGAAATGAAGATTTATCGTGTCATCTGCTGAGAATTGAACCCCACTTGTCATTTATGCAGCCCAACTGCCATATCTGTATGGATCCTTGCCATAAAGCAGAGACCTTTGAAGTCATAATTTAATAACTGGTATACAATGCATTTATTGGTTTCTCATTTCATTAATATAAAACTATGTTACAAAATTTTGAAGGTATACAATTGTTGATATTAATTTTATTTAGGTCGATTTAGGAAAGGAGACACATTGTTAATCAGAACTGGATCCTGTGTAGATGCTGATGAAAGGATAACAAGAAATTTATCTTAATAAACAGGCAGTAGCTGATAAAGTTGAAATGAAGAAACAGCTGTAGGGTGTGTCATATGTAAACGTTTTCAGCTTTATCATTGTAATTAGAGCATCTTATGTGATGTCAATTGTGGTCTTCTGGGGTATGACAACGTGGTCTTCTAGGTGGTTGGTTACCGATGTTTTATAGGAACATTGTCACTGCAATTTTTGTGGTGAAAACTGACACTGAAGATGGACATGGTAACGTTCCTCTGAAGTGTTCATAACCGGTTACAAGACTGTGCAGCATCATAATCAAGAAGACCATCTTAAATCTCATATTCTTGTGTGATATGGCTTATGGTTACGAATTGTTCATTTTATCTATTCAACATAATTTTAATGAGCTGGCTCTTTATTTTATTTATAATATACAGATGTTTAAAATGATATTGAATGGAGTGTATGTGTATTTGTGTGTCAGCAAATGGAACAGTTTGTAAATCAGGTGTGTCAGTACCGAGATGTCGCTGTTCTTTGAGTTTTGAGATTTGTGCTGTAGAATTTAAAATACCCAGAATAGAAAGAGTGAACATGCTGCTTCAGAAATTTATTTATATATAAAGAGAAGTAGTAGAAGGTAAATTAATTAAAGCTGAATAGATTTTTATGGTAAAAATGAGTTGTAATTAAGGTGTAAGAAATTGTCACACCTTTTAGGACTTTGCCAAACATTTTTGCTTTCTGTTACATTTTCATCTTCTACTTTTATGGATAGAAAATAATGACAAGTGACATTGAAACAAAGTTTATTGTACAACCACACAAATCCTTTTTGATCTTTCCCCTGATGATCATGCTAGGAGCCTTTACAAAAGAAAATTATTAACAAATATTCAGAAGAATATCAGGCTGTTGTATGTTACCTTAAATTATGTATTCTATTAGTCCATCTATTTGTTGATTCAGTTTTTCAAATGTAAGGGTTACATAAATTATCCTACTGTTTCTCTGTAAGATATTATAACAGATTGAGAGAAGACTTCAAAATGATCTCTTGAATTAGCAATCACCACATACTGCATTTCATCATTTTAAATAAATCTACAATAAATTAGTTTACAAGTAGTTCAGCAGTAACAGGTTTCATAGTACAGGGAAGTTCACACTGTTTCTTCCTTACCTAACATAATTTTCATTTGAAACGTTCAGTTTACCAGATGTCTTGTGTTTAATTCATATGGCTTATAGAGGCGTTGAACTGAAGAATGTGCTTAAACCTCTATTAAAATTAGACGAATACTAGGACAGGTATTTATCAATAACCAGAACAAAACAAGTTTTTGAATCAGTCA